TCACACACGAAAATGAAACAATGCAACAAAAACACAAAACGTCCAAACTAAACTGCAACTCTTGTCAGAGAAACTTTAATCCCAGCTCCCTACCTGGTGTGTACGTACCCTGTTCCCCAAGCAGAGATTCCTATTCTGTACCCTTTACCCAGTGTACACTCTCCTTAAGCACTTATAAGCATTGGATTGGTGCAAGCGAGTTTCCACCATGCTCCTTACACCAGTCAATTCCTTTTAGATCCATCAGAGGGAGTGCACACTTTAGGAGAAGGGTTGAGAATCGGACAACAGCCATTATTACCATTAGATTAGGGGTCTTTAATATGAAGGGATGGTCCCTAAGCCCAGCTTCTTTATTGTTCTTGTCCCCGGTCCTATCCCAAATGGACCCCTAGACCCTTCAACCTATGCGCTTGTGGAAATCTTAGAGGATTAGATATGGTAGTAGCACCATCTGGCCGACTGATTGGCTAGATGGCATTTTTGCCATAATACTTACATGTGTCCAATTCGCTGAGATCTCTACAAGTGCATAAATAGGATGTAGGGTCTAGGGGTCCATTTAGTATTGGGCCTCTCTACTATGGTACCCTCTGAAGGCCTCCTTCGCTCTGGAAGAACATAAAAGGCCTATTATCAGGCACATTTCCCATTTAATGTATAGGGCCAGGAAGTGAATCCTGACCATGTGACCTGACCAGGACTAAATGCATTACAGTACACATAATGCCACGTTCAAAACAACTGGGAACTGGGAACTCTCAGACTTCCGACTTCAGTGCATTCAAGATAACTGGGAATTAGGAAAGAAAACTAGCTCAGAATAGGAAAAATCGTTTTCAACGGTCATCCAACTCGGAATTCCAAGTCGGGAACTCTGGCCTCTTTCTAGAGCTCCGACTTTCCGACCTGAAGATCACTGACTTCATGATTTGACCTCGTTTTTTCCCAGAGTTCCCAGTTGTCTTGAAAGCACCATAAGACCCAGAGTTTTACCTGTTGAGGTCATCTGTGATCAGGAAGACCTCCTAACCCAATCCATTTTAACTCTACATATCCCTGTAGTGTACAACATATTGTTTACGCTTAACAATAAGAAGTTAACTCTCTCCGCTCAAATTGCTCATTGCATCGCAATATCCGAACAAAGGTAAGACATTAGAGCACATTGCTTCTCAATGGAAGGGCAGTGTATATCTTCGTTAAGGATATGTTCATCAGGGCACAACGTTTCAAAACGTTTTGCAACAGAAATAAATGCAAGTTCAGGTAGTACCTCCTCCCTGTTCAGCTCTAGTCCGGAGCGATTTCCTCTGTTTTGTGCCTTTCAAACACGACCCAGTACTATAGTGTTATAGTAGTGTTCAGCAGGCTTCTCTTCCTCTGGTTCTCCACTCAGTTCAGTTAGCCTAGGTGGGCAGCACAGTTTCAGTCTCAGTCTCTGCACTCAGTACCTTATCCCCCGCTAAATATTCCACCCTTCTCTCTTCCACCCTTCTCTCTTCCACCCTTCTCTCTCCTACCCTTCTCTCTTCCACCCTTCTCTCTCCCACCCTTCTCTCACCCACCCTTCTCTCTTCCACCCTTCTCTCTTCCACCCTTCTCCCTCCCACCCTTCTCTCTCCCACCCTTCTCTCTTCCACCCTTCTCTCTCCCACCCTTCTCTCTCCCACCCTTCTCTCTTCCACCCTTCTCTCTTCCACCCTTCTCTCTCCCACCCTTCTCTCTCCCACCCTTCACTCTTCCACCCTTCTCTCTCCCACCCTTCTCTCTCCCATCCTTCTCTCTTCCACCCTTCTCTCCCACCCTTCTCTCTTCCACCCTTCACTCTTCCACCCTTCTCTCTCCCACCCTTCTCTCTTCCACCCTTCTCTCTCCCACCCTTCTCTCTTCCACCCTTCTCTCTTCCACCATTCTCCCTGAGTGTAGTTAGCAGCCATTCCCTCCTAGATAGAAAAATATTATTTGTTTGTTTTTCTCCATAATTTGCATATCACTACTTTATTCTTGTGTAACTATGAAAATTAACCAACCAGGAAACCAAACAAACAACATTATTTATCAGTCATGGTAAAATAATATAAATAATATGCATTGCATGGCTTTCTGTTTGAAGACAGGAATTCAAAAATAAAGGAGGGGCTGGGCAGGGTTTCCCAGGCCGGCCCTAAATACAGTATGTGTGACCTTGCTATGCTGGGTGGTGGTCACTTCAGTGTCATCACTTCAGTGTCAGCTCTCTCTCTCTCTCTCTCTCTCTCTCTCTCTCCTCTCCCTCTCTCTCTCTCTCTCCTCTCCTCTCTCTCTCTCTCTCTCTCTCTCCTCCTCTCTCTCTCTCTCTCTCTCTCTCCTCGCTCTCCTCTCTCTCTCTCTCTCTATATATATATATATATATATATATATATATATATATATATATATAGGGGTTAGCTATAGAGGTTAGCTGTGATCCCTATAGAGGTTAGCTGTGATCCCTATAGAGGTTAGCTGTGATCCTTATAGGGGTTAGCTGTGATCCCTATAGAGGTTAGCTGTGATCCCTATAGAGGTTAGCTGTGATCCCTATAGAGGTTAGCTGTGATCCCTATAGAGGTTAGCTGTGATCCTTATAGAGGTTAGCTGTGATCCCTATAGAGGTTAGCTGTGATCCCTATAGAGGTTAGCTGTGATCCCTATAGAGGTTAGCTGTGATCCTTATAGGGGTTAGCTGTGATCCCTATAGAGGTTAGCTGTGATCCCTATAGAGGTTAGCTGTGATCCCTATAGAGGTTAGCTGTGATCCCTATAGAGGTTAGCTGTGATCCTTATAGAGGTTGACACATCCTCCCCTACCCTGTGGTGAGAGTTAGCTGTGATCCTTATAGAGGTTGACACATCCTCCCCTACCCTGTGGTGAGAGTTAGCTGTGATCCTTATAGAGGTTGACACATCCTCCCCTACCCTGTGGTGAGAGTTAGCTGTGATCCTTATAGAGGTTGACACATCCTCCCCTACCCTGTGGTGAGAGTTAGCTGTGATCCTTATAGAGGTTGACACATTTTCCCTGCAGCCATCTTCGTTGTTACAGTCTATTTTCAAACAGCAGTGTGTCTCTGCCTCCTCCACAGTGCACCAGGGCTAATATCCCTCCCCTCCTCTCACCTAGCACTGCCACAGGAACGACAGGGGGGCACAGTACCCTGCAGTCATTTTCTCATCTCCTCTCTCTCTCCACGCTGCTTTCTCTCCTCCACAAACTTTTCCTATTTTCTCCTGTGCCCGACCCCCACGCTTCACACACCGGGAAGAGACTGTCACAAGCCTGTTGTCACCCACAGTAATAATCTAACAAGGACCTCTAGGGCCACAAATGGGAGAAGGACCAAGGGTCACCTCTAATCAATGGGAGAAGGACCTAGGGTCACCTCTAACCAATGGGAGAAGGACCTAGGGTCACCTGTAACCAATTGGAGAAGCACCCAGGGCCAGGGCCACCAATATGAAGAGAACCTAGGGTTCACCACCAATGAGGAACAATGTTGCTTGCTCGCTTTGTTTGTGCCCCTGAGAACAGAAAGAGGAATTTACAGGATCGTGGAGTATTGCCACACTTATACATGGCTAGACACGTTTATTATTATAGCGAAGAAGAGGACCTCTGAAAGCAGCTAGTCTACTGTACTGACATAATGCAGTGACATTATCCTCTCTGTACTGACATAATGCAGTGACATTATCCTCTCTGTACTGACATACTGCAGTAACATTATCCTCTCTGTACTGACATAATGCAGTAACATTATCCTCTCTGTACTGACATAATGCAGTAACATTATCCTCTCTGTACTGACATACTGCAGTAACATTATCCTCTCTGTACTGACATAATGCAGTGACATTATCCTCTCTGTACTGACATACTGCAGTAACATTATCCTCTCTGTACTGACATAATGCAGTAACATTATCCTCTCTGTACTGACATAATGCAGTGACATTATCCTCTCTGTACTGACATACTGCAGTAACATTATCCTCTCTGTACTGACATACTGCAGTAACATTATCCTCTCTGTACTGACATAATGCAGTAACATTATCCTCTCTGTACTGACATAATGCAGTAACATTATCCTCTCTGTACTGACATAATGCAGTAACATTATCCTCTCTGTACTGACATAATGCAGTGACATTATCCTCTCTGTACTGACATTATTCTCTCTGTAATGACATACTGCAGTAACATTATTCTGTTGGTTTGGAGGTGCATAGTACAGTAAGAACACTTGAGACCAGAATGATGAGGAAACCATATGTATACTGTGGCCCAGCACATACTGTACTTAAACAGTTAGCTGCAGTGGAGGGGTGTGTGTGTGTGTGCTATGTGTTTTATAAGATCCGTCAGTGTCATTAGTTTGTTCCGTAGTGCATTATCATGTGCAAGGTGATGGATCATCACAGTGCTACGTGAGTGGAGAGAGCAGGTGAGGATGAACAGGCTACTGGGTCGCATCCAATGCATATGAGGTAATCTCTCCTTCTTCTTCTCTCGTCTTCTCTTCATCTCCTTCCGCTCTCGTCTCTCTCGTCTATCTCTCTCCTCTCTCCGTCCTCTCGCTCTCCTCTCTCTCTACTCCATCTCTCGCTCTCTCTCTCTCTCTCCCCTCCCCTCTCTTCATTCTCTCTCCTCCCTCTCTGCTCTCTCGCTCCCTCTCCTCTCTCTCTCCACTCTCTCTCTCTCCTCTCTCTCTCTTCCTCTCCTCTCTCTCCTCTCTCTCTCTCGTCTCTCTCTCTCTCTCTACCACTCACAGTCACAAGTCTCTGAGATGGAAGGAGAGTTTTAGGTCCGGCAAAAAGGAAAACGAGGGACATCACTTCATCATATCCTTCTTTCAGGTGCTCTCTTCCCTTTCTTGTCTTCTCATCTAGATGTTTTAACTTTTTATTTGTTTACCGATGATTTGTTTGTTTACCCCTATACATTTTTGTTTGTCGTTTATATAGGATTATTTCTTTCAACAGTGGTGCTTTTTGTACGTGGCTGCTCCTGGCACTGGGCCAAAGGTGGAGGAGGTGGATGTCCAGTAAGGAGAGAAGAGGATTGGACACGTGGGGAGGTGTCCGCATGGGTCCCCTGGGGGCGGGTAGTAAGGATGGCAATGGCTTGAGAGGCGGGCCCTGTAATCAGGTGATGGGTGGTGGTGATGCGGGTGGTGCTGGGCTGAAGATGCTGCTGCGGCGCGAAGCTGAGCCAATTGGTGGTGCGAGGAAGCGGCTGCGGCCATCGCCGCGGCAACAGCCAGGGGACTGGGCAAGAGCCCCGCCCCCAAACATTTGGAGAGATCCTTAGAGAAGGTCAGAGAGGACTGAGGGGAGAGAGAGAGAGAGAGAGAGAGAGAGAGAGAGAGAGAGAGAGAGAGAGAGAGAGAGAGAGAGAGAGAGAGAGAGAGAGAGAGGAGAAAGAGAGGGAGGGCGAGACAGATAAAAAGTTTAGAGGCATACGGTGAACACGTAGCGCAAAACAAATATAGAAATATCATTTCAGTTTGGACCTCTTCGATCTTTCATAACACAGAGGATTCTAATCAAACTGTATGTCCAGCACATTCCAAAATTGAACTTCAGGGCATTAGTAATGAATCTACCATTGAGTACTACTGATTACACAGACAACAGCCTCCTCACTATCAGTGGTTAAACTAGTTAATCTGAGCAAGCCCCGGCAAGGGATAATCATTGGTTAAGCTATCCTTGGCACGGTAGAGGTCAGGTAAGTGATCAGAAGTGAAAGGTTACCGTGAGGTCAGCTCCCCTGTGCTTCTTGTGTCGGCTGAGAAGAGGGTTGGGTTTCCCTGCCACTCCGTCCCGGTGCCTTCGACTAGATATGTGCTGCAAGGAGGGAGAGAACAGAGAGCGATAGATAGGGTTAGACTGCAGTCAGACGATCCAGGACCGACACAGTCATATGACGACTGCGGGTGCACCATATTTCTTTCACCTATCCAATCCTCTCAGTTAGTGCATAATCTCACGCATGCACTAACGCACGCACGCACACACACACACACACACACACACACACACACACACACACACACACACACACACACACACCCACTCCATCTTCCTCACCTGTTTGAGTTGCAGTTCAGAGTTGACTCGCACGTTGCAGATCTCACAGTGGAAAGTGCGTTCCTGAGTGTTGGGGTCCAGTGGTCCCCCTCCCAGCTCCCCCAGGGGTTTGGGGCCCAGCCGAGGGTAAGCCTTGATGGGACCCAGCCCACTGCGAGCCTCCAGGATAGTTTTGTGTTTGGTACCTACGCAAACAAGTTTTCTTTAATTGACTGAAAGAAAATGGTGTCTAACTATCCCATGAGGGATGGGTCAAGGCACAAAATAAAAATGCATTAATTCCTTTATTCACACACACATGCACACACACACAAACCATCAGTCTTTAGTCCAGGATGACATCAGCCCAACACTAACATAAGCTTAAACTGTTCTATTACCTCATCTATCAGCCAGAGCTCATTGAACTGTTCTATAAACCCATCTATCAGCCAGTGCTCATTGAACTGTTCTCTAACTCCATCTATCAGCCAGAGCTCATTGAACTGATCTATAACCCCATTTATCAGCCAGAGCTCATTAAACTGTTCTATAACCCCATATATCAGTCAGAGCTCATTAAACTGTTCTATAACCCCATCTATCAGCCAGAGCTCATTGATCTGTTCTATAACCCCATCTATCAGCCAGAGCTCATTGAACTGTTCTATAACCCCATATATCAGCCAGAGCTCATTGAACTGTTCTATAACCCCATTTATCAGCCAGAGCTCATTAAACTGTTCTATAACCCCATTTATCAGCCAGAGCTCATTAAACTGTTCTATAACCCCATCTATCAGCCAGAGCTCATTGAACTGTTCTATAACCCCATATATCAGCCAGAGCTCATTGAACTGTTCTATAACCCCATTTATCAGCCAGAGCTCATTAAACTGTTCTATAACCCCATCTATAGGCCAGAGCTCATTGAACTGTTCTATAACCCCATATATCAGCCAGAGCGCATTGAACTGTTCTATAACCCCATATATCAGCCAGAGCTCATCACCGTGTGTATCTGGGCTCCATCCCCTCATAATGGTGGAGAATATGACAATGACAAATATCAAGATGTGTGAACTAGCTGCTAGAGAACTCTCTGTACTGTACCACCATCTGAACCACAGGAGGTTGGTGGCACCTTAATTGGGGAGGACGGGCTCGTGGTAATGGCTGGAGCGTAATGGTATCAAATACATCAACATGGTTTCCATGGGTGTGATTCCATTCCATTGGCTCTGTTCTGGCCATTACTATGAGCCGTCCTCCCCTCAGCAGCCTCCTGTGATCTGAACTATCCTCTAACTCAGCACTGGTAGGCAGCAGAGCAGAGCACACAAAGCACATGTACAGTTAGTGAAATGGGATGGTGTAGGGTGAAGTTAACCCTAGACCCTGACATTGAGTCAGTTAGTCATTTCCCCCACTAATGGTTAAGGTAAGTACGAAAAAAAAAAATTGAAAAAAAAATGTATACACTGAATAAGAGCGTCTGCTAAATGACTAAAATGTAAATGTAAATGTAAGGACTGGGGAAGCTGATCCTAGATCTGTACTTAGGGGAAACTTCACCCTGGAGTAGAATGGGACTAGGAGAGTCGTGTAGTGTGATATATTAACCACTAGAGGGCCACAGTGATATGGTAACGCTGTAGTCTACAGTAGTATAGTTATGGCTGCAACATGACATGGATCTCTCCACTGTTAGTTGACATTGGCATAGAACTGAAATATGTCTATAGATCTCTCTGTTCTCTTAGGGTAGCCAATTGAATGATCTGGGTTAGGGTTAGCTTTTCTGAGAGGTCATATGGATGGTAGTAATAATGTCTTAAAGGTGTCAACATCTAGAACGACATCTGTAAAACTGAAGTCAACTCGGTGCATTGGTCAACTGCTTTTGGTCTTCAAAGAATGGAAGACCACAGTGCAGTATGTTCTGTGATCTGCCTTGTGTGGTGAAATACCACTGTTATTCTCTTGTTCAAATGGTTTACATTACACACACAGACAGCACTGACCACGTTGTGACAAAATAGTTCCTTTCTAATTCATTTCATGAATGGCTAATTCAATGGGGGTTTTCTGTGAGGTCATTATATTCAGATGGTAGTAATAACGTGTAAAATCTAGAGGTTATTAGTCATGACATCACAATACAAAGGTAAAATCAAACTCAACGACATCTAGTCTTCAAAGAGTGAAAGCGCTGTCTGTTTTATATGCTCTCTCATGTGCTGAAATATGAGTGTCATTCCTTGTTCAAGTGGTGTGCATTAGATAGACTGACAGCGCAAACGTTGTTGTGCCAAAATAGTTCCTTTCTAACTAGTGTGTTAGAGAAAGAGCAGTCTGCTCAGTGTGCTCAGTCTGCTCAGTGTGCTCAGTGTGCTCAGTCTGCTCAGTGTTCTCAGTCTGCTCAGTGTGCTCAGTGTGCTCAGTGTGTTCAGCGTGCTCAGTGTGTTCAGTGTGCTCAGCATGCTCAGTGTTCTCAGTCTGCTCAGTGTGCTCAGCGTGCTCAGTGTGCTCAGTGTGCTCAGTGTGCTCAGTGTGCTCAGTCTGCTCAGTGTGCTCAGCGTGCTCAGTGTGTTCAGTGTGCTCAGTCTAAAAATATGGTTCCTTTATAACTAATTGCATGTTTTGTTCTTGGCTGAAAAATTCCAGTCATGTCCTACCCTCCGTCTCCCCCCTTATCCCCTCTCCTCCCCCTGATCCCAAAACCTCAATCAGCCCAGTTTGCACTTGGTCTGACCGTGTCACGCCCTGACCTTGAGAGCCCTGTTTTCTCTAGTTTGTTTGGTCAGAGTGTGAATTCTAGAGTTTGTATTTTTATGTTGACCGGGTGTGGTTCCCAATCAGAGGCAGCTGTCGATCGTTGTCTCTGATTGGGGATCATCCTTAGGCAGCCATTTTTGCCTACCTTAGTTGCGGGATCTTGTTTCTGTTTTGGCTTGTGTTAGTGTAGCCTGTTGAACTTCACATTTGTTTGTATTTTGTTGTTTTGATTCTGTATTCAGTTAATAAAGGAATATGTACGCATACCACGCTGCACCTTGGTCTGATCCGTCTATCAATGAGCGTAAAGACCGAGAGTTTTTTATACGTCCCAAATGGCACCCTATTTCCTATATCGTGCTCTACTTTTGAACAGAGCCCTATGGGCCCAGGTCAAAAGTAGTGCACTATATAGGGAATGGGGTGCCATTTGGGGCACATTCTTTGACTTGTTCTCCCAAATCCCTGATCTTTGAGCAGTGAGTTATAGGTTACAGCAGGAGAACGTGGGGGAGGTCGGGGAGGTGGGGAAGGTGGGGGATAAAGAAGGAGGAGGAGGGAGGTCTGGAATGACTGATTTCATTTGTGGCCAATAATGTGCACTTGGAGTGTTTTTTTTGCTGTCTTTGTTCTATTCTGGGCAAACGATAGATTAACCCTGTCTGGGTGTTCTCGTCCTGCGAGCCGAGCTGCTTGACTCACTGTTACAATTAAACACTACACAAACAGACAGGAGACGTCTCCAAACATGAAGAGAGACAATACACAGCGAGGAACTGTTGCATAAACGTATGATTGCGGTTAAATCCCATAACCTTTCTTGTCACCCCTTCTCTCTCTTTGTTCATAGCACTGATAGTCACACTGTGCATGTCTCTGTCAGTCTGTTTCTCCGTCTGTTTATCTGTCTGTCTGTGCAACATATGCTTTTATTTTTCAGAGTATTGTTTTGGGAATGAGAGATATTGCTTCCAGATTGTGAGTTGATTTGGACTGTTAATCTTCCCAGATTGAACTGCAGGCACTGTAGCTGTCACAGATGTGTGAATGTCTCTGTTGATCTCTGTTTATTTTATATCTGTCTGTGTAACATATGGTCTTTGTGTGTGTTTGCATGGATTTACATAATTAATTAGTGCTTGTGCTGTAAGAAGAGAAGAGAGTGCAATCAACAAACAATCTGATTTGATTCCTTTAATATCTGTGTTTCCTGTCCCTAGAGCTCAATCAAACATCTATTTGTTGTGTGTCCTGTCCCTAGGGCTCAATCAAACATCTAATCTTTATGTTTCCTGTCCCTAGGGCTCAATCAAACATCTAATCTCTGTGTCCTGTCCCTAGGGCTCAACCACACATTTGATCTCTGTGTCATGTCCCTAGGGCTCAACAAAACATCTCATCTCTGTGTGTCCTGTCCCTAGGGCTCAACCAAACATCTAGTCACTGTGTGTCCTGTTCCTAGGGGCTCAACCAAACATTTAATTTATGTGTGTCCTGTCCCTAGGGGCTCAATCAAACATCTCATCTCTGTGTCCTGTCCTTAGGGTCTCAACCAAACATCTCATCTCTGTGTGTCCTGTTCCTAGGGGCTCAACCAAACATTTAATTTCTGTGTTTCCTGTCCCTAGGGCTCAATCAAACATATAATTTCGGTGTTTCCTGTCCCTAGGGCTCAATCAAACAACTAATATCTGTGTTTCCTGTCCCTAGGGCTCAATCAAACATCTAATCTCTGTGTCCTGTCCTTATGGCTCAATCAAACAGCCATTACAAAAAGCCTTCCAAAGGTTACTGTAATGAAGTCCCTGATGATGTTTCCATTGATCGACACTTAGTTATACATTAAGAAGCTTTTCATGTTTGTCTATCATCATGTCTGGCTGGCTGGCAGTCCAAGGCCATTCCCATTCCCATAACAGCACTGCCTTACTGCTGTGGTGTGGTAATGGTGATGTGGAATACAGGGACTGGTGTGTGTGCATGCATGCATGCGTTCATGTGTGTGTGCATGTGAGTGTGACATGTGTCTGACATGAAACAGAACATAGAGCGAGTTAAGGGAAAGTTAACAGCGTCCCCAAGCCACAGATTCTGAGTAGAAGGTTAGGTGGTTTGGGCTTACCCAAAAGAGTGACAGAGTAAGTATTAAGGAACCCAGCGTCGTCTGGGTTTGGCCGGTGTAGGCCGTCATTGTAAATAAGAATTTGTTCTTAACTGACTTGCCTAGTTAAATAAAGGTTAAAAAAAAAAAGGTTTGTTTTCTTTGAAATACTTTGAAAGTTTGATTGAGCCTGGAGCGCCAGACTGGCAAGGTTAGCACTTTTGAGACTGTTTTATTGATTGCATTGCACCAGACAAGCTCAATGAAGCACAGCCAAAGAACAGGCTCAATGAAGCACAGCCAAAGAACAAGCTCAATGAAGCGCAGCCAAAGTATCTGGAAGAAAACAAATATGATTGGAACCCAAGTCTGGCCTCAAAACAGCCTTGTGGTTCTACAGGCTTAAAGACACACTCCTCCAGTGGTGCAGCATTAAAAGGACCAGCATTAACAGGACCAGCATTAACAGGACCAGCATTAACAGGACCAGCGTTAACAGGACCAGCATTAATAGGAACGGCATTAAGAGGACCAGCATTAAGAGGACCAGCATTGAGAGGACCAGCATTAACAGGACCAGCATTAAGAGGACCAGCATTAACAGGACCAGCATTAACAGGACCAGCATTAAGATGACCAGCATTGAGAGGACCAGCATTAACAGGACTAGCATTAAGAGGTCCACCATTAACATGACCAGCATTAACAGGACCAGCATTAACAGGACCAGCATTAACAGGACCAGCATTAAGAGGACCAGCATTAACAGGACCAGCATTTACAGGACCAGCATTAACAGGACCAGCATTAACAGGACCAGCATTAAGAGGACCAGCATTGAGAAGACCAGCATTAACAGGACCAGCATTAAGAGGACCTTCATTAACATGACCAGCATTAACAGGACCAGCATTGAGAGGACCAGCATTAACAGGACCAGCATTAACAGGACTAGCATTAAGAGGTCCACCATTAACAGGACCAGTATTAACAGGATCAGCATTAACATGACCAGCATTAAGAGGACCAGCATTAACAGGACCAGCATTAACAGGACCAGCATTAAGAGGACCAGCATTAACAGGACCAGCATTAACAGGACCAGCATTAACAGGACTAGCATTAAGAGGTCCACCATTAACATGACCAGCATTAACAGGACCAGCATTAACAGGACCAGCATTAAGAGGACCAGAATTAACAGGACCAGCATTAACAGGACCAGCATTAACAGGACCATCATTAAAAGGACCAGCATTAACAGGACCAGCATTTACAGGACCAGCATTAACAGGACCAGCATTAAGAGGACCAGCATTAACAGGACCAGCATTAAGAGGACCAGCATTGAGAACACCAGCATTAACAGGACCAGCATTAAGAGGACCAGCATTAACAGGACCAGCATTAACAGGACCAGCATTGAGAGGACCAGCATTAACAGGACCAGCATTAGCAGGACTAGCATTAAGAGGTCCACCATTAACATGACCAGTATTAACAGGACCAGCATTAACATGACCAGCATTAAGAGGACCAGCATTAACAGGACCAGCATTAACAGGACCAGCATTAACAGGACCAGCATTAACAGGACTAGCATTAAGAGGTCCACCATGAACATGACCAGCATTAACAGGACCATCATTAACATGACCAGCATTAAGAGGACCAGCATGAACAGGACCAGCATTAACAGGACCAGCATTAACAGGACCAGCATTAAGAGGACTAGCATTAAGAGGTCCACCATTAACATGACCAGCATTAACAGGACCAGCATTAAGAGGACCAGCATTAACAGGACCAGCATTAACAGGACCAGCATTAAGAGGACCAGCATTGAGAGGACCAGCATTAACAGGACTTTCTCTGCTGCTTATTGATGCTAAAGGCCTGAAGCAACAATGAACAGCTTTCCGCTGCACCCGCTAACCACCACAAGATACATCATGAATTTTTGAGTGGGAGACTCCTATATTTATATAATTCTTATCAAGGTGTTTTGGTGCTGTAGACAAGACAGGAGAAATACACTACTCCAGGGCATGTTGGATCAAAGACTACACTAAAACCAGGGGGGAAGTTTCTGGTTGAAGAGAATGTTATGCTTGGCTAGAGTCTTAACGCCTTTTATTCATTTTTGCCATCAACACTTCCTTTGTGTTACTGGAGCACCATCATCTGTGTTTGAACTTGAAACACAGACACCTTTTGGGTTGTGCTGGATCAAATAAAAATGGTGTTGTTCTTTTTAGGGTGATGCAGGAAAGGCAGATGGGTAGAGGAGAACAGCCCTGAGTTTAAATAGTTTGTTTTCTTTTTTCCCTCTCACCTGGCCCTCCAGAAAGGCTAAATATCAAACACTTAAAGTGTTTAAAAGAAAACAAACACTATTTCAGCCCAGGTCTGTTGATAAGGAATTCAACATTCATGTGTTTCACAATTTTTTTTACCAAATTAAAAAATTGTATGTAAATGGTATGCTAAAGAAGGTTCCAGAAACAATTTTAGTGATTTCACTTTGTTTTGAGAAACGTACCCGACACTTACCGCAACGTTTTATTGCTTTTTTTTTTACTCAAGTGATATATTTTCGTGTGGAAGCATGCACGTGCTTTCTCGTTCCATTGTGGTGATAAGAGAAATGAGAAAGCACGCGAATGGTCGCACACAGAAATGCATTGCTCGAATCCAACAAAATGGAATATAATGTTGTGGAATTACACAATTTCATGTGTACAACATCTAAAGACCTGCATCACCATACTGAGAGATTATGCAGTTTCTAAAATGACTTATTTGGATGTTATTGGAGCCTTTGTTCATGTTTTCCGTGGCCCCCATACTGCAGAACGAGCAATGAGGAAGTCTATGGTGGGTGGGGTACATTTCTCAAAACCAAGTGAAATTGCAAAAAAGGTATCTTTACCCTTCTATAACATGCTATTTACAACAAAAAAAAATTGAGATTTGGTTTAAAAATAGTGAACCAGTCCTTTAAGTACTGACTATTCCAAGGACTGCCAAGTGTCCTCTCCTAGATTAGTGACCTGAGAGGGCCACCTCTAAGCTACGTACCTTTGTTGTGAGCCTCCAGCTGTGAGAGGGAGTTGACGGACACTTTGCACAGTGAGCAGTAGAGGAGCTTCTTGGCCTTGTCCTCCTCTGTCTCTGGGCCGGCTGGGGCCCCGGGAGCCACATGGGCCACTGGAACACCACTCTGCTCAGGGTTGGTGGTGTCGAAACCCAGGGGAGAGTCAGAGGATGGGGGGAGCAGTGGAGAAGGGGTGAGGGTGGGGGTGGTCAGCATGGGACACACGGAGGGGGCAAGGCGGGAGTCGGGGGTAGGAGGGGTGGAGAGGGGAGGCAGGGGGGGTAGGGGCCCAGGCGGGTCCATGAGAGGCCCCCCATTTAACTGTGGTGGCAGAGGGGGGCGTGGTTCATCTAGAAAGGGAGAGAGTAAAAACATCATGTTGACAAAACATCTAAACAGACTTGTTTTTCTGAGGAAAAGCGTGGAACTAAAACAATGAAGTGTTTACAATAGATTTTCGATGATGCCTTTCAAGTATGTATGCGGTGAAGCAAAGTCAAATCCAAATGTTTCATTTTAACATGTAACCAACCACATCCCAACCCAACCCCTTCAACTACAACCCACTGGCTGGTTCAGAGATCACGCAAACCACATTTTAAGCTCATTTTAACTCACTAAAGTAAAGGACTCCAAAAGCAAAACACTGGCCTGGCATTAGGGGGAAGGATTTTAGTAGTCAGTATGACCTTACAATTGTGAAGTGTTACTATAGCAATAACACATGGGGATTGGAGGAAGCAGGCCTGAAACCAGGGACAGAGCCAATGACGTATATATAATGGTATACTGTATAATCACATGACATATACAGTATATAGTGAACATATGTATGTCTGGGGACAACACTGTAACTTCAACAGACATGTTTTCTCTTTTGAAGTGTCATAGACCCCTGATCTCATCTTATAGAAATGTTTCAGAGGAGAGGGAAGAAATAAGAAACACATTCTCCTCAAACAACAGGCAGTGGATGGATGTTTTGCTACTCAGCCAACAGGCAGTGGATGGATGTTTTGCTACTCAGCCAACAGGCAGTGGATGGATGTTTTGCTACTCAGCCAACAGGCAGTGGATGGATGTTTTGCTACTCAGCCAACAGGCAGTGGATGGATGTTTTGCTACTCGCCAGGGGATGGATGTTTTACTACTCGGCCAACAGGCAGTGGATGGATGTTTTACTACTCAGCCAACAGGCAGTGGATGGATGTTTTACTACTCGGCCAACAGGCAGTGGATGGATGTTTTACTACTCGGCCAACAGGCAGTGGATGGATGTTTTACTACTCGGCCAACAGGCAGTGGATGGATGATTTACTACTCAGACAACAGGCAGTGGATGGATGTTTTTTCACCTGTTATATTTGGCTGAGAATGAGATGGAACAGGGAAAATGTGTTTGTTTTGAATAGGGGTGCCACGGAAAACATCCCAAGCACAACACACACATAGAGACACACAGACACACACAGATGCACACACTCACAAACACGCACACACACACACTTTCTCTCGCTGTCTCCCACACACACACGTACAGCTAGCACACACATGTTTGCGTTCAGCCACTCTCATTATGCAATGGCTCTGGTATTCACCCGACCAGGCACTGGGTGGTGCTCCGTAAAGACCCCTTAAATTTGGGTGGGTGGGGTAGAGTTCTGCCTGTCCCAATCAGTGGGGGCACCAGACCCCGCCCTCCCACACACACAACCACCGACCACAGGACACGGGCGTCAGGCAGAGGGGGAGTCGGATGGGACAGAAAGCCCAGAGGGATTGTGGGTCTTAAAGGGGCTAGAGCGGAGTATTTCTGGGAAAAACACAAATATTGACTTTAACTACTCAATTTCCTGTTAAGGATTTCACATTCTCCTCCTCCTCCTCCTCCTCCTCCTCTTCCTCCTCCTCTGCTGTTGTCAGTGTGTCACATGACATGACCAGTGGTCCAGCCATGAGGGTTTTATATATCCGTCTTGCCAGGCAGTATTGTGGTAGGCCATTTGAGATTATGTCTGAGTCCGAAACCACACCCTATTCCATTTCCAATAGTGCAAAACTTTTGACCGGAGCTCTGCCGTAGTCAAAGGTAGTGCACATAGGGAATATGGTGCCAATCCGGACGCAGACTGTATGGAACCTGATCATTGGATGATTGTTTTGTTACTGTATCTCCCTAAAGAGGTAGCCTACCTACCTTCTACATATAAACTGCATCGTATTTGATTCAGACGGCCAAATAAAAAAAGCTATTGTCTCTTCCGATGTATCAAACGATAAAGCTGTTGTTGAGTGCTCTCAATTCCACTGGTTTCCCAGGCAAATAGACGTTCTACATTGGAGGATCTTCCAGCTGCTCTGCATGCTGCCTCTCTGCCTGCCTGTCTGCCAGCTGTCTGCCTCTCTGCCTGCCTGTCTGTCTGTCTGTCTCTCTGCCTGTCTGACTGCCTGTTTGCCTGTCTGCCTGTCTACTGTCTGTCTGCCCGCCTGCCTGCCTGCCTGCCTGCCTGCCTGCCTGCCTGTCTGTCTGTCTGTCTGTCTGTCTGTCTGTCCGTCTGCCCGTCTGTCTGCCTGTCTGTCTGCCTGTCTGCCTGTCTGCCTGTCTACTGTCTGCCTCTGCCTGCCTGCCTGCCTGCCTGCTGCCTGCCTGTCCTGTCTGTCTGTCTGTCTGTCTGTCTGCCTGTCTGCCTCCCTGCCTGGCGTAAAGTACATGTATGTCTAACAGATGTGTGTCAAAACCATATTTCTTATTCAGTCAGTCTCACTGGCTTTCAGAAGCTCATAAAGAGTTGCTGCATCAAAGAGCACGGGTGAGTGGTGTGATGAGTGGTGTGTGGAGGGGTGTGAGGTGATGGGTGAGTGGTGTGATGAGGGGTGTGGGGTGATGGGTGAGAGTGTGTGTTTGTTGTGTGTGGTGTTGTGTGTGGAGTGGTGGTGGTGTTATGAGTGGTGTGTGGAGGGGTGTGGGGTGATGGGTTAGTGGAGTGTGTGTGTGTGTGTGTGTGTGTGTTTGTGTGTGTGTCGGCGTGGTGTGGTTGAGTGTGCTGCGTGGTGTGTGTTGCGGTGGTGTGGGGTGCTGTTTCGTGGTAGTTCTGCGTGGTCTGGCGGGTGTGTGAGGGTGATGGTGTGGTTGTGAGGGGGTGGGGTGATGGGTGAGAGGTGTGATGAGTGGTATGTGGAGGGGTGTGAGGTGATGGGTGAGTGGTGTGATGAGGGGTGTGGGGTGATGGGTGAGTGGTGTGATGACTGGTGTGTGGAGGGGTGTGGGGCGCACACACACACACACACACACACACACACACACACACAACACACACACACACACACACACACACACACACACACACACACACACACACACACACACACACACACACTCCATCACAGTAGGTCAGTGCCAGTTAACAGGTGGGTGTGCTGGGGCCGGGTGTACCCCCAGTGTGTGGCTAGGTGTTCATTTAGGTACAGTGAGGGAAAAAAGTATTTGATCCCCTGCTGATTTTGTACGTTTGCCCACTGACAAAGAAATGATCAGTCTATAATTTTAATGGTAGGTTTATTCGAACAGTGAGAGACAGAATAACAACAAAAAAATCCAGAAAAACGCATGTCAAAAATGTTATAAATTTATTTGCATTTTAATGAGGGAAATAAGTATTTGACCCCCTCTCAATCAGAAAGATTTCTGGCTCCCAGAAGTCTTTTATACAGGTAACGAGCTGAGATTTGGAGCACACTCCTAAAGGGAGTGCTCCTAATCTCAGCTTGTTACCTGTATAAAAGACACCTGTCCACAGAAGCAATCAATCAATCAGATTCCAAACTCTCCACCATGGCCAAGACCAAAGAGCTCTCCAAGGATGTCAGGGACAAGATTGTAGACCTACACAAGGCTGGAATGGGCTACAAGACCATCGCCAAGCAGCTTGGTGAGAAGGTGACAACAGTTGGTGCGATTATTCGCAAATGGAAGAAACACAAAAGACTGTCAATCTCCCTCGGCCTGGGGCTCCATGCATGGAGTTGCAATGATCATGAGAACCGTGAGGAATCAGCCCAGAACTACACGGGAGGATCTTGTCAATGATCTCAAGGCAGCTGGGACCATAGTCACCAAGAAAACAATTGGTAAGACACTACGCCGTGAAGGACTGAAATCCTGCAGCGCCCGCAAGGTCCCCCTGCTCAAGAAAGCACATATACATGCCCGTCTGAAGTTTGCCAATGAACATCTGAATGATTCAGAGGAGAACTGGGTGAAAGTGTTGTGGTCAGATGAGACCAAAATGGAGCTCTTTGGCATCAACTCAACTCGCCATGTTTGGAGGAGGAGGAATGCTGCCTATGACCCCAAGAACACCATCCCCACCGTCAAACATGGAGGTGGAAACATTATGCTTTGGGGGTGTTTTTCTGCTAAGGGGACAGGACAACTTCACCGCATCAAAGGGACGATGGACGGGTCCATGTACCAAAAAAAATCTTTGGTGAGAACCTCCTTCCCTCAGCCAGGGCATTGAAAATGGGTAGTGGATGGGTATTCCAGCATGACAATGACCCAAAACACACGGCCAATGCAACAAAGGAGTGGCTCAAGAAGAAGCACATCACGGTCCTGGAGTGGCCTAGCCAGTCTCCAGACTTTAATCCCATAGAAAATCTGTGGAGGGTGCTGAAGGTTTGAGTTGCCAAACGTCAGCCTCGAAACCTTAATGACTTGAAGAAGATCTGCAAAGCGGAGTGGGACAAAATCCCTCCTGAGATGTGTGCAAACCTGGTGGCCAACTACAAGAAACGTCTGACCTCTATGATTGCCAACAAGGGTTTTGCCAACAAGTACTAAGTCATGTTTTGCAGAGGGGTCAAATACTTATTTCCCTCATTAAAATGCAAATCAATTTATAACATTTTTGACATGCGTTTTTCTGGATTTTTGTTGTTGTTATTCTGTCTCTCACTGTTCAAATAAACCTACCATTAAAATTATAGACTGATCATTTCTTTGTCAGTGGGCAAACTTACAAAATCAGCAGGGGATCAAATACCTTTTTTCCCTCACTGTAGGTTATAGGGGAGGAAAGGGGCCCCATCCAGCCCTCCTCTCTCCTCTCCCTGGCCGTGTCGGGGTTATAGGGGTGGGGTACCCCCTATGTATGGTCAGACGTTGGTGTTACAGGGATAGGCAGGGAGCCTGTGTCCTCCCAGCCCTCTCCTCTTTGGCTGCTTTGTGTGGTCAGGTTTTGTGGTTACAGGGGGAGGCAGGAGTGGTGTGTATCCCCTGTGTACTCTAACCCTCCAGCCCTCTTGTCCCTGGCCATCCTAAATGATTAATGAGTTTAGAAACCCAACTCTGTTCTAATGAACACTCAGCATTATAC